ATGGTCAGTGACTACAGATCGAGAGCAAACGTGGCACGACAAAGTCTCTAAAAGATGATAAACGGTGAGTTTTGCATGTTTGTTCGATAAGTCTCCCGAAAATATCGAAAAGAACATCAAAAACTAAGGGTGTCACTCTGGACTCATGTTAATGATATCAGTAAGAATCGCTGTCAGTGTTAGGATAGGGGCAACAATGTCGTTTCCAGTTCGCAGGAGATTTGCTAGACTGAGTAAACTGATGGTTCGCGACAATGATAGGGTTGTCAGACCACCAATTGAACTGGACAGGTTTTTAAATCGTCCAGTAGTTGAGCAGCCGATCGATGTACCGAAATCATCTGTCACATAACGACCAAGAGGAAACAATACTTCGAAAAACAAAGCACGGAGTCGAAGTTGATTAACTACAATAGTTAACGTCACATCGAAGTAACATCTTCCTTTCGTATACTGAGAGTTGCACTGAACGTTCGTTTGGTTATTATCAATGTAACAGTTGGATGTGTAAAAACAAACATATACGAAGACTGTGGTGAGATTCGCAGAGGATTCGGAGGTTATTTAGATATTTTTCAAACCCGTATTGCTTGTGAACAAACCGAAGATGGAATTGAAATAACTTTCATGTAATAAGGAATTGGAGCCATGATTTACTGTGTAAGAACTCCGCCTGTAGCTCCTCTGGAGGTTACTGCCGGTCCCAAGCCTGGGTAAAGGAGGAGGGTTGGGCATGGGGTTAGCGACCCCATCCGGTAGAAAATCAACTCGCTAAAAAAACGCTAACCAGAAAAAATCATTCAAACCATCTAAACTCTGCCCTGGGAGTAGAATGAATAATTATGACGTCTCATGATGAAAGCCGAGTTCATTCGGAAGTCATGAGGCCGATGCACCTTCTTACAACCAGAGCAACAATTTTTATAGGTACATGAAATGTCCGGACAATGTGGGAGACCGGAAGAGTCTTCCAAATTGCCGCAGAAATGAGAAAGTACAACCTGGAGGTGCTTGGAATCAGTGAAACGCATTGGACGCAGGTTGGACAATAACGACTGTCTTCAGGAGAACTTCTGTTATACTCCGGTCATGAAGAAGAAAATGCCGCACATACACAAGGAGTTGCATTGATGCTGTCCAGAAAAGCGCAAAATGCACTTATTGGATGGGAATCTCATGGACCAAGGATCATCAAAGCCTCCTTCAAAACAAAGAGAGAGGTCATTACAATGAACGTCATCCAATGCTATGCGCCTACCAATGACTACGATGAAGACGCTAAAGACCAATTCTACGATAGGCTGCAGTCGATCGTCGAGAAGTGCCCAACCAAGGACCTGACAATTCTGATGGGAGATCTCAATGCTAAGGTTGGAATGGACAACACTGGATACGAAGACGTCATGGGACAACATGGACTGGGAGAAAGGAACGAAAATGGTGAGAGATTTGCAAACCTATGTGCCTTCAATAAACTGGTCATAGGTGGCACCATATTCCCACACAAAAACATACACAAAGCCACTTAGATTTCACCGGATCACACTACACAGAATCAAATCGACCATATCTGCATCAACAAAAAGTTCAGGAGGACGATGGAGGATGTGAGAACCAGGAGAGGAGCTGATATAGCATTCGATCATCATTTGCTGGTCGCCAGGATGAAACTAAAACTTAAGAAGCACTGGACAACGACGCGGACAACATCACAAAAGTTTAATACGGCCTTTCTTCGAGATGCTGACAAACTCAACATAGCCCTCAGTAACAGGTTCCAGGCCTTTTATGATCTACTCAATGGAGAGGGGACTACCATGGAGAGCAACTGGAAAGGTATCAAGGAGGCAATCGTTTCAACGTGTCAAGACGTTCTGGTCCACAAGAAGCACCATCACAAGGAATGGATCACTGTTGGTACAATGGATAAGATTGAAGCAAGGAGGAACAAGAAGGCAGCAATCAACACCAGCCGAACCAGAGCGGAAAAAGCCAAGGCACAAGCCGAATACAGAAAGACAAACAAGCAAGTGAAGAAGAGCATCAGAACCGACAAACTTAAATATGTGGAAGATTTAGCAATGACAGCGGAAAAGGCTGCAAGAGAAGGAAACATGAGACAACTGTATGATACGACAAAGAAACTTGCTGGAAATTACCGTAAGCCAGAAAGACCAGTGAAAAGTAAGGAAGGCAAAGTAATCACCGACATTGAAGAACAACGAAACAGGTGGGTAGAATACTTCAAAAAACTCTTGAATCGAGCAGCTCCACTGAACCCACTCAACATCGAAGCAGCACCCACGGACCTTCCAATCGATATTGGCCCACCAACAATTGAAGAGATCAGCATGGCCATTAGACAAGTCAAGAGTGGCAAAGCAGCGGGACCAGACAACATCCCGGCAGAGGCACTGAAAGCAAATGTAACAGCAACTGCCAAGATACTCCACATCCTCTTCAGTAAGATTTGAGACGAAGAACAAGTACCAATAGACTGGAAAAAAGGACTTCTGATCAAGATACCAAAGAAAGGCGATCTTAGCAAGTGCGACAACTACAGGGGCATCACTCTCCTCTCAATACCAGGAAAAGTCTTCAACAGAGTATTGTTAAACAGGATGAAGGATTCAGTGGACGCCCAACTTCGAGATCAACAAGCTGGATTTCGTAAGGATAGATCGTGCACAGATCAAATCGCAACTCTGCGGATCATTGTGGAACAATCAATCGAATGGAATTCATCGCTCTACATCAACTTCATCGACTACGAGAAGGCATTTGATAGCGTGGACAGGACGACACTATGGAGGCTTCTTCAACACTACGGCGTGCCTGAGAAGATAGTCAATATCATACGGAACTCCTATGATGGACTAAACTGCCAAATCGTCCACGGAGGACAACTCACCGACTCGTTTCAAGTAAAGACCGGTGTTAGGCAAGGTTGCTTACTCTCACCCTTTCTCTTTCTCCTGGTGATCGACTGGATCATGAAGACGTCAACGACTGGAGGAAATCACGGGATACAGTGGACAGGCAGGATGCAGCTTGACGATTTAGACTTCGCGGATGATCTGGCTCTTCTATCACAAACGCAACAACAAATGCAGGAGAAAACGACCAGTGTAGCAGCAGCCTCAACAGCAGCAGGTCTCAATATAAACAAAGAGAAAAGCAAGACTCTCCGATACAATACAATATGCACCAATCAAATTACACTTGACGGAGAAGCTTTGGAGGATGTGGAAACCTTTACATATCTGGGCAGCATCATTGATGAACACGGTGGATCAGATGCAGATGTGAGGGCGCGGATCGGCAAAGCAAGAGCAGCATACCTACAACTGAAAAGCATCTGGAGTTCAAAACAATTGTCAACCAACACCAAGGTTAGAATTTTCAATACAAATGTGAAGACAGTTCTACTGTATGGGGCGGAGACGTGGAGAACTACGAAAGCCATTATCCAGAAGATACAAGTGTTCATCAACAGCTGTCTACGCAAAATACTTCGGATCTGATGGCCAGACACTATCAGCAATAAGTTACTGTGGGAGAGAACAAACCAGATTTTAGCGGAGGAAGAAATCAGGAAGAAGCGCTGGGAGTGGATTGGGCACACCTTGAGGAAATCAGCTAATTGCGTCACAAGACAAGCCCTCACATGGAATCCTGAAGGTCAACGGAGAAGAGGAAGACCAAAGAACACATTACGCCGAGAAATAGAGACAGATATGAGAAGAATGAACAAGAACTGGATAGAACTAGAAAAGGAAGCCCAGGACAGAGTGGGTTGGAGAAAGCTGGTCGGCGGCCTATGCTCCATTGGGAGTAACAGGCGTAAGTAAGTAAGTAAGTAAGTAAGTAATAACAGCAAATACAAAGCGTATAGTAAATATTACATAAAATGGTAACCGCCAACGTAACTAAAGTTAATAACGTTTACATGAGTCGACCATTTCATTAAAGGCTAAGGCAAAGAGCGTATTACTTAGCGTTAAGTGATATATTACATACGAATGTGTCTAGTTAGGACATGAAATAAAATTGCTAGTGTACATGCCATACGTTTTTCCACAGTATGAAAACTTACGAATCATAAATACATATGGTTTCGACTAAAACCTGACGGCAGTGAAAGAGTATATGACTGCTCTACGTGAAAGCAACTATGAAATGTCATTAAGCACCACAAGCATAGTAGGAAAAATCTAATGCAATTAGGAAACTCAACAAGGTTACTCTTGCTCGCAAAATAACTAAAATTTAAAGTGAACTAATTGGAATCTGGATTATATACGAGATACTGTTAATTCGATTCATGGGTTCACACGGCTTTGTAGACTGAATTTGTATAAGTCCAAATACGTAGCATTGCCTGACGAACAGTCTAAATAGGATCTGACATTGCAGGAAATTCCTAGCATTCGTATACTCTGTTTTGACCATGGAACTCAGAAATTGGAAATTAGGCAGGCAGTGGTCAAGTAAGTAAAATACTACTAGGTAGTTTCTGACGGAAGACAGTGGATAGTGGTTAAGCAGAAAGATGATTTCACAATCGACAGTTATTCTTGTCTCGCTTTTACAGGTGGATAAGGGAGGGGAAGTTGTTCGAGTAGACTTATATTCAATCTGATGAACGTTGAATCGCAAGCTCGTGCTTCGAGAAATGGACACCAAGTCGCAAAAATTAGTCCGAAATCTGACAAATAGGTATTCTAAACAAAGCGTAACAAGCGTAAGAAAATGTCATAAATGATCCATACCTATGCCCAAAATAAGTGGGTTCTTTACGAAAACATCGGACGAGTATATTTCGAGGTTGCTTAACACTAATATTTCGTTAAAGCTGGTCTTAAATTGAAAAATATATCGCAAAAGCTGTCAACACAAGTCTTGTCTTCCTGTCTTCTGATCTTGAAACGTTTAATTTTTGCCTGATTGCGCGTTTCCAAACTACTGAGTTACGATCAAGGTCGTTGTTGGTTCACCCAATGAAGATGCCATCAGTAATTCGTTTTTCTTTCATCAAAGATTTTTTAGAATAAAACCAGTTGGTGTCCTGGATTGTGTTGGTCCGTTGTGTGGCTGCTTATCTGGTTCTTGGCTTGGCCAATGGCTTTTGTGCTAGCCATAGTTGAAGTGTTCATCATTCCTTTCTGTGTTTGCTTCGAGAAAGCCAAAACGGCGTGTGAATTCATCGATAGGATATATAAGGTTTGTAACATTGATTTGTTTTTTTAATCTGCGGTTAATTCGGTTTCACTCGAATGTTGGGGACAAAGTCAAATAAGGACAATAGCTTGACTTCTTCATATTGCTTGTTATACTTAAAGCGTTTGGTCGCGACTTCAATTCACTAATCTAATTTTCTGGCCCTAGGAAATTATCACAGCATTGTTGTGTGTTTCGTGGATATGAACTGCCTTGAATATTTATTAGCTCTAAAGCCATACACTGATACACACCATACAGAATATTTCTGGCGTTTATAATAAAACCGTAGCATATTTGCCTATAAGTATCCGATTTTCGTTCAGATTATCTTTCCACTCCTAATTTTTTAAACCCAATTGTACTTTGATTCGGAGTTGTTGCTTTTTGTCAAGATCTTGCTGTCAGTTGCTCAATGACTTTTTCCCTTTATTGTTTCAATCATATCATTATTAGTCGTAATGGGAACATTTCACCTGCTGAATTGCTGGTAGGATTAAACTATACTGCCGAGTCAATCAGAAGCTTTCGCGGGTTTTCAAGATCACGGCGCTAAGTTCGGCACCTGATGCTTACGTACGGTCGGTTTACAGCGGATTTTAGGGAAGACGTAATAATTTAGCGTCTACAATAGAAGTGATCATAAGATTTTGGCGCGAAATTCAATTATCCATTTGGATAAATAGAGTTTTGGCATTATAGCTGATGTTAGTTCGTGATGAATACCCTAAGTGTAATTCCTAGCCTTAATCATGAACTGAAAATCATAATTTGAATTCTTCACACAGGTTTATAACCCTCATTTGGTCAAAGTTATTACGTTGACACTCAGAGTCACTCTAGCGTCGCTCAAAGGTTGTCCATAACTTATAGTCTCACTCATAACCCTAAACTCTACACCTAAACCTTAACACTAACCCTAACCCGTAAACCATACCAATATACTAACATTATTGAAGCTATGTGGTCGAGGCTAAAATAATTTTTGGGACTTTATCATGGTTTCAGAGGTCGACTACTATGGAGCCATATGGATGTGTTCCTGTACCGTATGCACTATGATTTTAGAACTACTGAACCTATACCTGACCTTGAGAAGTTTTTGACCCATGTAAAAGAAGTGTTTCCACTTTAATACTTTGGTATTGTATAATATATTTTTACTGTATACTAACTGTCTTCTGAGTGGCTAATATTTCTCAAGGTCATTTAAGATTCGTTCAAAGGTCGGCAGTATAGTTTAATCCTACCACTTGTTACATAAAAGTATAACTCGTTCATCATTTATTTAAGCTGATGTGGCTGCCTATATAGTTTCACTGGACTATCGAAAATCGTTTTCATAAACCTACTATTTAGGATGCGATAGACCAGTTTTTTTGGTTTTAAGACGAGTCGCCAAATTCTTAGTCTGTAACGCAATGTGTACGTATTGAAAATCCCTTCATACCAGAATACTTAGTGTTTTTTGTATGTGGGACTAAAACGTTTGACCCCGCCAATCATGTTTAATAAGTAGTTTCAGTACATCTAGGGGAACAGTTAGTAATTCTAAAATAAGATGAAATAGACTTGAAACTTCCATTTATCACAAATTGGTTTGAAATTTGAGACTATTGTGTGGCAGTTTTATTCCATTAGCTATATATAAGGCTTATTGATTTATGTCAGCCTATTGTCTGATCTCTGCGTTTTTGAACCGCAAGTAAGTTATACGAAACTCTTTGACAGCTGTCTTCCTGTTTTACAATGAATATCCTGTTATAGTCCTATCAGTGTAAATATAAAACAACTTATCTTCTTGATTTCAAGAATATAGAAAATAAAATATTGAGTATTTGAACCCTGGGTGGGATTTAATTCCGGCTGCTACACTGTTTAGTTCATTCTCTGTAAATGTATGCTTGTAACACGCCAAGTTATTTTAATTAGTTTGTATGTTGAAAATATTATACTCCACAATGCAGTAAGAAGCTACATAAAATCGCTAAGGCGAAGAAAATCAATCGGTCAGGGTAATTTCGTCAAAATTATGATTGCAGTATTAATAATCTAAGAGTAGTAAACTAAAAACGACTATATGAACTGAATGAGGATTACTTTTTTCGCTAAATTCCCATCAGGTCCTACAGTAGTAAATCAAATTAGTGTTACAAAGGAGAGCCGAATTTAAGTCGAACAGGTTTTTACTAGATTGCAACGATAAAGTCAGAAATGTTAGTAAGATAAAACGGTCTTGTTTGTGTGGAGATGACTAGTGTGTAATATTACCTTTAATCAGCTTATAGGTTGATTAAAACTATAAGATTAACAGTCAGAATCAATGTTGACAACTTACAGACAAATAGCACGCAAATATAGATAACATGTTTATTCTGGTTATTAGTCTCACAATTTTTACTGAGCTGCAAACGGATTCATGTTAACACTACACACTGATCATTTCAGGGCCTCATAGACTAATTACTGAGGTTTTAAAGGATGGTGGTCCAGTTTTAGCAGTTAAATTAACTGAAATCTTAGCTAAAATCTGAGAAACTGGACGTAATCCTATCTAACGTCTCAATCGCTGGTCGTCCTACTCTATGAGAAAGAACATAACTCCTTTTGTGACAATCACGGACCAATCAGTTCAGCTAATATAGTATCTAAAATATTAGCCTAAATAATACTTTAACTTCTAGATAGAGCTCGTGAATAGCGAATCCGATAAGATCAGGCTGGTTTCAGACCTGCATATAGATGTATGGATCAAATATTCCCCCTTCAGCAGGTCCTGGAACATAGATATACTTTTCGACATCCGATTGTAGTTGTATTCCCTAGCCATAAGACGGCGTTCAACTCCATTGACCGGGAGATACTCTGAGTGTCGGTCATTGACAGGTGTACCAATGAAGTACATTAACCTTGTACAGGCTCTACTCGAACACTACTAGTCGAGTTATAGCTTATGGCAAACTGTCATCGAAATCGGTTACCTCATGTAGTGTTCGTCAGGGTTGTCCACTATCCTCATTTTTACGTAACTTTGTGATAGACATGTTTTCAGAGATAACACTTTCATCGTCTGACTTTTCACAAGTTGATGATCCACGAGTATGTTCACTTGCTTACTTAGAATACACAGATGATATAGTTCTGTTTGGTGAAGACGCTGACAAAATGCAGTCTTCTGGCCACGTTGAGCAACAATGGAAGCATGTTTGGGATGCGATTCTTTCTCTCCAAATGTGAAATATTGCTTCGGGGTTGGATCGCGTCATCGTTTGAATTAATGATAGGGAGTGAAATAGTTGAACGCATCGACCGCTTCACTTACCTTGGGAATCTCTGGTGTCTGACGAGATCTCGGCACGGATTCAAAAGACTCGTCGACTCTCGTCAACGTGCGTCACTTGTGGCGTAGATGAGATATCTGTATCTCAACCAAAGGATGAGTTGACTGCGCAGCGGTTCGCTCCATTCTACGGATGTGAAATATGGCGATTAAGAATAGAGGATATTCGTAGGTTACTAGTATTCGATCATCAAATCAGAGGTGTCTTCGAAGCATTGTACATGTGTTTTTGGACCACGGAGTAAGCAATGCTTGCTTGCTTAGAAATGAGGTATTATGTAAGGATGAGAAATCGATTGGGGGTAGCAAATCTTCATCAACCAAGGTAGTTGGGACGTGTGTTACATATGATCAACCACCGCCTATCTCGTATAGGGGTTATTTTCTGGTTTTGAAGTAGGCTGAAAGGAAGCTAGAAGTGACCAAACTAAAACATGGCATCAGTTCATAAAGTTACTAACAGTTGGACCTGACCATGTTAATAGATATAGACTATCTGGTAAGGGTCTGCGTAGCTATCGTAACTAATGGTTAGAAATTTTGAATGACATTGCTCGAAATCGTTTGCAATGGCGCAGGTGCATCCGTCCTTTGTCTTCCCTCAAGTTCTGAGAATCTAAAGTCCCGCATAACTGTTTATTTCACATGAACTAAGGATATGGAGCGAAGTAGTCGAACGCGTCGACAATTTCACTTATCTTGGAAGTTTGATCAGCCCAAATGGGTTGATGTCTGAAGAAATCTCAGCACGGATTCAAAAAGCTCGTTTGGCCTACGTCACCTATGACGAAAGCGAGATATCCGTCTATCAATTAAGGGACGAGTATACTGCATAGTAGCTCGCTCTGTTCTACTTTACGGCTGTAAAACATGGCCATTAAGAGTAGAAGATACTCGTAAGTTACTATTATTTGACCACAGACGCCTTAGAAATACTGCACGCATCTACTGGGATCACCGGGTAAGTAATAGTGAGGTTAGACACAGGGTATTAGGGAATGGTGATAAATCAGTCAGTCAGTCAGCGACAACGTAGGACCAGGCACATTTATGCAACGGTCCAAGTTGCCATACCTCGTTAGCACAACAAGATGAACATCGGATTCATAGAAGTAATTAATTTAGTGGTGGTAGTATATAAAGAAAGGTTGTATATAAGGATATAGTATAGGAAGGAAGAACGTTACGAGGCAATTTTAATCTCAAGGTTTAAAGGAGGAAAGAGAGTGTATACACTTACGCCATTGTGATCGATTCTGAGCCATGTCACCTAGAGTCTCCAACCATTGGTTACGCCCCCAAATGCCCTGGTACGGCCGAGAGTGGGGAGAGTCCGCTCTCCCTCTCCAAATGCTCGAACATGGCCACGCGAATATATAGCCTCTGCCAGGGAAGTCCTACTCACTGCCTTCTCGTGGCGGGGGTGTTGTTTACGAAAGTGAGAAGACGAAAAGCGAATGTCCGGCGCTTTAACCGGGTTGGTGGACATGGAAAGTTCACCTAGGGGAGTTGGGAAACCCTGATTCCAAACCAATGGTGCACATGGGCTCCAGTATCCTGAAGGAACAAATGGCGTATGACTCAATCGTTGGTGACCGGCTACCATGGGACTGCATCTCCTCACGATGCTCCACTGCCTTGTGGATCAGACATTCAGGTCAAA